TACACAATTTGTTTTCCTCTACAAGGTTAAATGCACAAAATGTATAAAACCTGGAAACTGGTCCCTGTTTTGCTTCTAAACCCCTCCTTCAGGGGTCTTCAGCCCATTGGAACCCACCTGAGAACCCACGAGCCCAGAGATGTTTGATGGCAGACCTTTGCTAGGACTGCCCAAGAACGAGGGGACAGTGGGGAGTTTCTAAACAGACAACTTACATCAGGTAAACTCATCATCACAGAGACCGCCAGAATAAACTGGAAGGTTTTGAATGAAACGAGCTTATTTCCTACTGATGTTAATCCTTCATGAAGTATGGATGTTAATCCACAAAGAAATTCTTAGAAAATTATCTGCTACATCTCCAGGGTGGAAAGGTCTCAGTTGTGGCACTGAATACTGAGAGCATCCTATTTGATTTACCAGTGATCACCAAGGTTTGCATCAAAGGTCAGGAATAAGTCCGGAATTTGTAAGCTGTGAAAAAGGTATAAACACTTTAATTTATTGCCCTGTCACTGTTAATTCATTCGGTATTCACTGTGATAGCATTGCTGTTAATGAATGTATTTGGTAATAATGTGGATGTCACAGATATTTATGCTCTCATCTCTCTCAGTGGCTCAGCAGGCAAGGCAAGTTAGGAGCTTTGCCATTTAACGTTTTATAAATTAAAGAGGGAAAATAAATCATGTTTCATTTCAAAGAAGTACTTAACAAATATCTATTACATTTAGCTACCCCAAATGAGGGCCCATCCTATTACAGGAGAATTAGTACTGGACACAAAATGATGGGTGTCTGGAATGGATGGAAGCCAAAGGGGAAGCTTCCTATGTATTTCAGAGGCAACAAGTCAGACTCTGTTCAAAGTATGTAGATTAGCTGATGTTTATTAAATATAGCTAATAAATAAATTTTAGAACGCATATCTTTATGTCTTATGTGACTCTTTAGAGTCACAAGTGGGAAAAAATTCTCTTGGATATCTGTTTCAAATCCTGAATCAACAAAAAAAGGAATCTAACAAAAAAGAGGAGCTCTAACCTTTGCACAGTGCAGAAATGTGTGCCTGTATGGAGCTTGCAAAAATCTCCTAATTGTAAGTTAACCTTGATTTTTGAACAGTCAGGTGGCACATACACATTTAGCTGACTCTGCATTAACCTGATTTTCCACACATTTTAAAATTACACACAAATACTTTGTAATCCTTTCGTACATATTTTTATCCTGCACTCTTCAGGTCATGCAATGGTGCCTCAAAACAGGGAGTTTTTCCAGTTAAGGTCAGCAGAAGCCTGGCCATTGCTTTCAAAGGCTCCAGGACTCGGATTATAACCAATTCATTAATTTTGTAATCTAGTCATAAGCAAGTCCATAATATAAATACGGATAAGCAGCAAATACCTTCCTCATTCTGAAATACTGACTGGGAGCAGGAGGCCCTGCACTCCTGGGCTCATGAGATCATTATCAAGCAGCTGCTGCCCCGTCCTGCATGGAATCCCATGCATGGGATGCCTGGAAACTGCTTATGCACCTGGGCAATTGCTACTGCTCTATTATTATGCAATAATACATTATTACTTGTATTTGAAGAGCAAATGCTGGTCAGACAGTTCTATTGATATGAATTTTCACATCTTTTGATGGTGAAAGTCCTGCTTCATTAATGCTCCAAGTCCCGCTCAACAGAACTGAGGCGGGAGGAGGAAAATAAATGACTACAAATACAGTTTAGAAACCTCTGCTCTGACCTAAACCACCTTGCCCATAAATCACGATCTTGCAGTTTCAAAACCTGGTTTGGGACTGTACACATGGGCTATACAAGCACAAGTCCCTGCCATTCCCAAGGCTCCCTGGCCCCAGTCTGCCTGGGGAACAGGAGGATGGACAGTCCTCCTCTCCACAACCCTCACAGGCCTCTTTTCCACAGCTGCCCATTATTGCTGTAATCGCTTCATTACAGCCTCTGTGAATTGATTAGATTTGGAAAGGGCTGCAGTGGGAATAGGGGACTCTGGCAGGACGTGTGCCAGCCCGAGAGCTGGTGCTGCTGAGGATGTGCTGCCCATTCGCACATCCCATGTGGGACTGGGTTTAAAAAAAACCCAACATTTTTAAGGGGAGAGGAAGGGACAGAAAACCCAACTTGTGGTTTTTTCAGAGCCTTTCAGTATTTTCTTCTGAAAAGATCACTCCTTCACTGTGCAGTAATGTGTTCCACAGTTTAATTTAATGCCTTGGTTAGGAAAACTTAAATGTTTCCTTGAAGCCTTTTACAATTTGTTGCCTTTTAATTAAGATGGAAAAGTACCTAAACGTCTGAGTGGCGTCTGTATTATGAAATAATTTGTATTTTATATTTTCCCCATAGAAGTTTGCAACTTGGTGTCATACAGGATCTAATACCTCCCTTTTGTGATGCTCTGAATGCCTCTGGAGCCGTCAGCAAGTGTTGGATATACAAATGGAAATGGCAATATTCACAGAATACTGATTTGGGAGCTTATGAAACGTCAGGCTTGTATTCAGTGCAGACGTGAGTCTCTGTGAAGGAGTCTTCTGGCTTCCTTTGTTACTACATGAAGAATTCATTTTGGCATCTCCCTTTAGGGCTGGTTTCTTTTAAGCCGTGATTGCATTAATAATATCAGTTCATGGTGTAACTGATTGAATCCCTTTCACGTTGGGGAAGAATTAAAGCCCAATCTAATTCGCTACTGACCCATAATCAGCAAAGCCATGAAGTAAAGGGCATTATTTTCTCACAACTTTTCTGTACAGCTATATTAATTTTTATGTTTCATACTCCTGAGGTAATTAAATGCCCTTAAATGAGGAAATGCTTTATGTAAATGTCATTTTAACACCAAAGATTGTGCCTGTTCCCAGGGAACAGTGTTATCTAACTAAAAAGCTGGTTTCATTTCTTAAAAGCAAATACATTTTGAGGTCAAAATTTTCATTTTATAGTTATTACTTTGCTCAGATGCAAACACTGGTTTTCTAACTGAAGAATGAAAGGACACCTTGATTTTTTTTCAAGTGTATACACTGCATTTTTTTGCATGGTTCAGCTTGCTTGTTCCTTAGATCTCTTTGCTTTAGGATTAGCAAGATAACAAACATGTTCAGGTTCTAAGAGATTTTTTTGGCGATGTTCTTTGAACTGCTGAAAAAGGCAAGCTTAGCCCCAGCTTTATAACTAAGGCCTGCTTACCATAGCTAAGCTAAACACAAACACATGTGGTATATTATCTGAGAAGAGGATCATTGCTCCCCTGTGAAGTTCTCCAGGAAGATGACTGTTGTTCACAGCCAGTTTTTCATGGGAATTGGGTGCACATTCATGTTCATTTTGTCCTTGGTTTATCAATCTACCTACTGGATGCCACACAGAGCTCACAGAGGGCAGCAGCACAGTTTGGATGTCAGACCCATTTCTTCAGCTCTGCAGTCCCCCATCCTGCTGAGGCAGGTAAGTGTCTCCCTGGCTAACCCCCTTTTAAAGGTCCCTGATTCTTAAATGTTCATTTAAACCTGATACAGAAGACTCTTTCCATTTCTTCAGTTTGAAGACTTATTTTTTCCTTTTTTTAATGATACGTGTGCCTAGTCTTTTCTGAAGCTTTTCAAATTTCAGGACTCGTTGACTCCCTACAGGTCAGGGGAGGTTTAGATTGGATATTAGGTAAAGGTTTTTCACCCAGAGGATCTTTGAGCACAGAAACAGGTTACCCAGGGCAGTGGTCACAGCACCAAGCCTGACAGAGTTCAAGAAGCATTTGGACAATGCTTTCAGGCCCATGTTGGGATTCTTGGGGGTGTCCAGTGCAGGGCCAGGAGCTGGACTCGATGACCCTCGTGGGTCCCTTCCAAGTCAGGATATTCTACGATTCTATAATGAGTCCTGCAGCCTAACTGTGCAACAAGGCAAATATTCTTTTGGTCACTTTTGGCTTTTTTGCTCATTTTAATCATATTTAATGTTGTGTAATGAGTACCCAAAAACACAAGGCTGTGGTCATAATACTGAGATGGAAGATACTTCTGCAACTGGGATCTTCAGCAGATGCTGATCTTTGCTGAGCTGCCTTTGAGGACTTGCCAACATTAAGAAGGGAGAGGAAGAAAAAGGGCTGGACCATATTTAGAAGCAAGGAGTCCCTTGGAGAAGAGCCCTGAGGTGGTCCTGAGGGTCACAGACTCACAGGGCACCACTTGCCCTGCTCACTGAGGAGCCAGCTCCTCTCCCAGGTAAACCCTAGAAGTGAGCAGAGGGTGAGGGCTCTGAAAGCCACCCATACCTGAGCCCATGCAGTTCCCACAAGACTGTTCAGAA